TATATATATATATATATATATATATATTTTAATTAATTACCTGATATGAGAACAGATAACTCATCCAGTCCTGATATGCAAATATTTATTGGTAATAATAAACGAGTATATGCAGTGTTTTACTATATATGATGAATGCTGGTAAATACTTGAGATGCATGTCGATTGATTAATTAAGAGTATTGATTACTTTATCTAGCCAACAATTATGTCACTGAATGGCTAACTTCTTCAGCGTCCTCATCAACCGTCCACTCTCTCTGTTTCTTAACATTATCTGGGTCATGTCGTTGTAGAAAAATACGTAAACATTTGAACATAATTCAAATGTTGTGCTTGAACCGAGACAATAAGTATAACATGAATAAATAGAAATAGGATGAAGAGACGTGGAATAGCCGGATGGTGAAATTTCTGGTGACATATATAGGACACATGGGTAGGTGGATGAATAGTCTCGAGTAGATCAGTTTTCAAAGAGAGATAGATTCAAGGATAGAGAGTAGTCAAGGGAATGGATAAGCTAATGAAGAGGAGAGGAGAGGAGGGATGATTCGGTGGTACTCCGTCTTGCTCCTGAGAAGGATCCGGTGGTAAGACTGATAGAGCAGCAAATAGCAACTATCACCCCGTTCAGTTATTGCTTCATCTATCCGTCCATCTATCTCCGAGCTGTTAGAATGGTGTGCAATGAAAGCAGTGTGTATAATATATGGGCTGTTAACTGGGGGATGCCATAACGGACTGGACAGAGGGAGTGATGACCGATCGGGTCGTTACAATGATATATATCCATTCTCTCCCGCTCAAACATTATCAATTGTCTACCAATTTGTAATCATTTTTTATTTGCTACTTTATTTGTTGCGTAATTTTTCGATGCCAATTTTTATTGATGTTTATAGGATGTTCGTATTCAGTGTTTATGTTGTCCTTTTATTTTCATTTGACGTTTTCTCCAATCTCTCATCCTACCATCAGGATTTTCATCAGTCTCCTCCTTTCTTGCACGATCTTCAGAATCTGCAATTTTGTTGTTCAAGAAATTCATCAAATTCGTTTGCTTACCGTAATTGGTTTAAGGTGAGAAATGAATTTGGATCTCACCATTCTCATTCTTTATGCGATCATCGAGAACACTCGAAAGATTATGACACTAAAGGGTAAATAAAAGTGTTCCGAAGAAATTACCTCAGTCATGGAAACTTTTGATGATGTTAATATTCAAGACACATAAAAATGCTTAAAACTTCTTTTTTCTTCATGAAAAATCCCACCTACAACAGAGTTTGAGAAGAAGGAACATTATAATTGTCCACGACAACAACAAAGGTCATCCTTCTTAATTAATTCCCATGACCTTTTAACATCATCACTGCTCATCGATCCTTCACTAATGTTGAGTTACAGCGCAATATATCGTTAAGTATTATCTATTCCTTCAATAAATTTTTCTTGCTTGTTTCGTCAACGACTTTAGTACGGTATAGTTTCTTTTTTCATTTGCAGTGTCATTGTTTTAAATGTTTCATAAAATTTCAATTGTAAATAGCAAATTTTTGAGTTCAGAAAAGGTTCTGAAGTTTCAACCATCCGTTTACTGTAAAGGTTTTCCTGTTGAGATGAATTAACTTACTTAAAGCTTTCCATGTGCACTTACTGACTCAGTGTGCAAGGATTAAAAATGGCGGTTTCGTTGAGTCTTTATATTAATTTCCTAGATTACCATACGGAAATTAATCTCAGCTGATGACGCATTGGAAAATTGATTTTTTACGAAGTCATGAATCACAGAAATTGTTCTGTTACTTAGCAGTAAGAAGTATGGCTACACGATGTCAACCGTCGGTTCATATCACCTGTTATCGGTGGTTTACCTTGCAAGTTTATTAGATTTTACCGAGAGAGAACAGAAGCACACATCTGCTTTCGAAATAATTTGCAGATATTCTAAAAAACACAGTTATGTATTTTTCTAAAATATTCTTTCGTACTACCTTCAACGAATAATGTATCTCTTGTTATGGAAGGATGCATGATACATGATACTGGAAGTATCCCTTACTAAAGACTCGTTCCTGTTTTTACCTGCATTCTCTCTGGTCGTCAATTTCATCGGAATTTAAGAATGCTTAAGAATATAGCAATTTTGTGAAAGGAATAACAAAAAAGGAAATAAGGGTCAAAGAGTACTTGAATTTGAGCAGCATTAACATCACTTACGTGTACCAATAAAATACCGCTCCTCCTGCTGCTTATATAAATTTAAAAAAACAAACACTCTTACCAAGGATGCAACTTTGAGCCAGTTGTTCCTTTCATCTGTCGGATTTGACATATGACACTAAAATATGCTTGGCATAGAGAATGTTTTGAGTCCTGCAGATTAATAGTAAGGCCGTGTACCGTGGATGACTTCTGCACGTCAACACTAAATCATCAAAAGTCCATCAAATCAAAGATGATTATAGAAATCCCGTAAACAAATAAAGAATGAAAAATATGAATTTGGATTCATTTGAACAATTTGAAATCACTGCGGCGTTTTTTATAATCTCGGAAATCCTCGGAACTTTGTAAGATCGTTCGGTTATTCAAAATAGCATAGATCTCAAAGAATTCTATTTAATTCATTTATTGCTTAGGTTGTTAGTGATTTGGATTGCCTGGTAATAAAGAATAGAAATGCATAACTGCCTTACTAGCTTACCTAGACTTTCCGGAAATATATCCCTATTGTAATGTTATAAGCTCATAGTTATTCCCATTCTTCCGATGAGGATGCAGTGTGATTCTGATTAATTTCACTATTCCCGTTCATTTTGTTTCTACCATGGTTTCCCTTCTTCACATACTGATTCTGAAATGCACTTATGATTTTCAAACGAGTGCTAATTAAATCCAAAAAAACTACGAGTTTCATGTGGTAGCAGTAAGTTAAAAAGCATATGCTAAACGGGTAGAATTGAAAAGACAACTAGAAACTGCCATTTGTAATGAAAGAATTTTTTTTAGAATGATTGTTAAACAGATTTGTGAGGAACGAGTGATTTTGTAACAATGAGTGTAAGCGGCTTACCGGACCGGACAGGAACCGGACAGGAAGGATGGAGTTAAAGTGACGAACGGATGGATTGTAGTAGTTTGGTCTTCTTGTGGTGATGATAGTCTTCGTCATCGTATGAAAAAGAAACAAGTTTTCTCTCCTTTTGTTCTAAGAAATTTGATTTTACCAACCGCTTCCTGATGCCTTTCTATCTTTTGTGCTCAAACCCTCACGCCTCTTTCTTGGCTCTCCTCCCTTTTCGTGATAAATTGCTCAATCTTTAAAATTTATTCCATCACTTCTTCACCGCATTCTACTCCACCCACCCTTGGTAATCATTCATTAACCACTTGTACTACAATACATTTCTCTTAATTTATAACACTATTCATCTATGACAACATACGTTGGTATTTATTGATGGGATTTCTTTTTTCCACAATGTTTTCTATGTAATTCGTTTCTAATCCGAAAATGATTAACTTTATAACATTAAGTAAACCTCTTCGAATTTCATTAAATCTTTCACTATTTTGCTCACATTTATGAAAATATATGTAAAATGCTGAAATTTATTTTTGTTCTTTATTTTTTGTTTTTAATTCAGCCGTAAATAAAACCCTTTTTTTATTTGATCATACTTGGACTATGTCCAATGTGCTAGTGGACGGATACTTTGAAATATCCGTTAGGAAGTTATAAAACTGTAATGCTATTTGCATAAGGAATTGTACTGCAGAAGATCATTCTGGTGTCATTTCCGGTTGAATGTAGCTTCATGTGGAAATAAATATAATCTATCAAAAATTTAAGTGTATGATTCACTATCCTGACTGATAACTATCATCAGTGCACTCTCGAGAGATAAACTGTTAATCAATCTGAGCAGGAAATGAAAAATATTGAAGAGTCAGCTCATATCTAAATAATGAAGGGGAATGCGTGGAAAGTGCAAATATTGGATTTTTTTATACTGGATTATAAAAATTGGTATCTAGTTTAGTTGCTTTTTTGATAATTTTAACATTTGTTGTCTGTCGTCCTATTTTTAAATAATAATTCTGAACTTCAATATCATCCCTTTTTTGTAGTATGGAGGACGGTTCATCGCCTTCCAGACGACCCTACATTAGACTGACATCATTTCTCAACAATGTCACTAAAAATGCGGGTGATGAAGTAAGATTTAAATGTGAAGCTGCTGGCAATCCATTACCTCTCCAATTTAGGCAAGTTTTTGCTTCCAACGATTTTACGGCAACTGTTCTAGTTGATGTTATTCGTTTGATTATGATATTGTAATGTATGAAAAATCGCATCAAATAAGAATCGAAAGAAGAATTTGCATTAAATAATTATTGAAAAATTATCTCAAGCTATGGTCGTATTAGGTTCAAAGCTGTTTGGTTTTCATATTTTCGAATATTTTTTAAAATCATGGAAGGAAATTGAGTTCTTTTAATCACTCAGAATGAATGATGTAATTAATTGATGCGAAAATTTATTCATTTCCCGTCAAACATCAGAAATCTTTGTAGCTGGCTGAAAAACCATGCACCGGTGGAAAAGAATCGTAAGACGAAAATAAAGAATCGTGAATACTGGTCTCGACTGGTAATTACTGATTTGGAAGTTCTGGACAGTGGATACTATCAGTGTGTTGTTAGCAATTCCCTTGCAAGTGTCAACACCACTGCCATCCTTAGGGTTCGTTTAATGCTTTCATTTATTCATTTTCATGCACTTTTTTTGGAATAAAAAGGAAACGACCAAATTTTTCACTATACTTTCAGTTCAAATTCACTTTAACTATCTGTTCATTTCATTGGTTTCACTCAGAATCTTACCGTCTTCTTCCATTTGAAGTTAGTCGCATTAGTATGATGTTAGTGTAAGAGACATTAGAAGCCCAATTACTCTAATGTGTCGATGACGTTAATCATTTAGTTCTTCGTTATCTATCGAATTATGTCAGCAAAGCTTTTTTTTTTCAAAATTATTTGTTTCTAAAGTTTTTACGAAAAATGAAGCTTTTGATAACATTCGGTTTTTTCGATAATCTTTTTAAAATTGTAAATATTAAATGAAGATTTAAAAAGAGTAAGAGGGAGACGATTAATATTAAACATCTTTATACTAAAGATTTCCTCATTTCCACATTTGTAAAGGATTTATATCTGTTTTGAATTCTCACTGAATCAACGATATTGCATTTATTATTCACTCATGCATGCAAATTGTATTATCACTATTACTACCAATCAAACTGTTTATTAAATTTCCAAATATCGTCTTTCACTTGTCTAAATTTCTATTCTCAGTGATTCATCATAGGACGTCTGGGAACATTTATTATTATTATATGAAATAAAAATTAATTCTTCGCGCATTTTCATCCTTCGCATTCCATTGCTCTGTTCTTTAAACAATTTATCAATATATGTATTATTTACTGAGCTGCTGCTTTCTTAACTAATTAGTTCCTGGAGGTTGAATTATCCCTCATCAGTGATGACATTGGTTTGTGTTATTTTTAATGCTCTATTTGTATATGCAGCATTCTCTTTCATCGTTGAAATATTATAATGCACAGATAAGATTAGAACTGTTATCATTTAAATTAAAATGATAAGAAATTTTTCGGTTAAATATGAAAAGGTTCAATATTCCAAATTTGTCCATTTCTAGAACACACTATTGATTCAAAAAGCACAGAAAAGAATATGTTAGAAGGAAATATTATGAATGACTTTTGAGAAATGATTGCACCTGATATTTGTGAAGCAAAACTAACACAGCCATTCGTTCTCCAGTTTATTTTCACAGCTTGCATTTATATCTCCCAACATTCTTCCACCTCCTCTGAATTGTCTTCTTTTCATACTTTTTGATTGATGGCATTTCTGTAAACTTTAAAAGTTTTCTTTAAAACAAATTCCAAATTCTTTTTTTCTTTGAATAATGTTCAAATTTGTTTTTTTTGGATTTTTATGCATTACTTCACGATGCACACAGCGAGTGTTTAAAGTTAAATGAAGAGTCAGTCATTCGGGTTTTTGTTTCAATTTTGCAACAATCCCAAAGGTTTGTGACTCGACTAGTTTAAAGGTGCATAATCTCTGTTGGCTAATCTCAGATGTCGGTGCTTTACGATTTGCATAAACGATGGTTAATTATAACGGTAATAGTAAACAGCCAGACCTGTCCATATATGTACATTGACATTTGCCTCTTCTGCTCTAATGGTAGTGTCTCTGTTTCATCCTGTCTGGTTATAGGGATTTCAGCAATCAACAAGCGCTTCGATTAATCACTTTATTCAATTACTGTCTACGTCATTGAATTGAATTGGACTGTTATTTGGATTGATAAGTTGCTTTTTTTGTTATTCACTTCCTTGATTAATTACTTTCAGTTGAACAATATTTGGTGCTGTCGTGTACACAAAGTTCAGAGATCGTTTTAGAAATGTAATAGAGGTATTTAGTTCTTTTCCTATCTTCGAAATATTCGGGAATAAGTTGTTGAAAGAAAAATGGCATGTTAGTAGTCTGTTATGGACGAAACTGATATTGTCATTCGAAACTGATATTATCAGTCCAATAAAAGGATGGATAATGGAGCAAATGTATTTATAGCTTCCGTTGAAGGGATATATGAATGGAATTTCAGTTTAAAGTGATTTAAGGACTTTAAGAAATTTGAAATTGAGCTACTGGCTAATTCATACTTCCTTTTTGTTTACATCTGAGATGGGACGTTTCTTTTAGGTATTGCCAGTGTTATGAAAAAAGTAATGACTGAATAATCGAAGAGCCATGCACAATGTTCGTCATACTCCATGTACTCTCATCATTAATCACCACCCAGCTGTTTTTAATTAATCATTCACACGGTATTTAATTATATCCAATATTCCACAATGCTGTTCTTTATTCTGCTCTCTCTCTTCCTTACCACAGTTACCGAAAAAGGATTTTCATCAGTTTAGTTTGTAAGTTACAGAAAATGTCTCATTCAATTCCTCTTATTTTGACTCATTTCATTTTCATCGACTTCTTTACACTTTATGATCATTCAACCCTTACAAATTAGTTTCTTTAGTGTGAGATTAAACTATTAAGGATAAACAATTGAAAGAGGAATTTAAAAGAAAATTAGGTAAGATCTTTTCGAACTTTTGGAAAAAAAACCACTGATAATAGGTTTAATACTTCAAATCGTTTAGGAAAAAAACGCATTAAATTTGGAGAGAGAAAGAGGTGACTTTTGGCTAAAAACCAAGTAGTACGTTATGCAAATTAAGTATTTCCTAATATTTTATTTTAAAGAGCTGCTAGAAATAATGTTGTGTTGAATTAAAAAAGATGTTGAGAGGACAAAGTCGCCTGCTTTCACATCATTCGATGTATATCAGAGAAGTGGCAGAGTTGCTCTGTCCTATTCTATGGAAATGTATTCAATTAGAGAGTGAAAATAAAACAATAGACTTGTCTTGCTTGATTAGAGTTATGAAAACTGCGTTTCCTGTCGTGTTTTATAATTTATTTAAATTTAATTCCTCGAGAAGGATGGACGGAATGAGGGAAAACAATAAAATATTTGATGAGTAGAGAAGTGGTTGAGGGAGGCCCTGTACATTTGATGGCCTTCTCCATCACATCGACCTCGGCTCTTGCTGTGCAAAATGTCGTTGTCTAAAAAGCAATCGTTGAAATTGTAATCCATCATGATGGACGACGACTCACCCCTTCTATCATGGACAGACGCGATCGAACACAGCCCTTTCCCTTGTGCAGTAGTGATCTCCACTATCCATCCCTACTGTGTTGACTTAACTGATGAACCGATGGGTTGTGTGACCCTTCACTTCTCCCTTCATGTATATCGTACTTTTGGCTAAAAACCAAGTAGTATGAGCTATCGCTTGCTGTTTTGTATGATTTCATGCAAATTAAATATTTCCTAATATTTTACTTTAGATGTTCGAAATGTTGCTGGCGATCAAATATTTTGAAATTTAAAAATGAAGAATCCATTCTCCTTTTCATAACCACATCTCTCTGTTTTTTCCTATCCATTCATTAGCTAGCTGACGCGTTCATCCTTTTAGATCTAATTGGTTATTACATCATGTCATATAAAAAGGAAAGGAAAAGTTCTCATATAAAAAGTTGAGGGAAACTTTTGATTTGATTGTGGCGGAATAGGATGCTTGTTTTTTCATATCAGTTCAATTACAGTGATAAGACATACTGCTGCTTATAGTTAGTTATTGTGAAGGTGTTCCAACATGATTTGTTTTTCATACTATCATTCCTCAATCATTAATATTGCTAACTGTCTCAGTTAAACTTAAACTTAAGCTAAGATAAATGCTTAAACTGCAGGTTTTTGAGAGGAAATCTCGAAAATTCAAATCCAATAATCACGTTAAAATGCAGTTACCAGTTGGAAGTAGAAAATATGCCATCGGTCACTGGTTATTCAGACCGTTTTCCAAATGAACACTCGTTGCATTCTGTAGTTGCCCTTTTAGTATTAGTGGATGCCTTTTTGTTTCGTAGGTTTATCCTTGAATTTCCGCAAGCATTCATTCTTCTTAGCATTATTCAGATCTTTAAATATTAGTGAGTCCTTTGCATTTTTCGGTTTCTCAGATTTGCAAAATATTTTCCGAATTAAAACTATGCATGTTTATTAGAGGAATTAGAAGACATGATAAATCGGTTCTTTGATGCTTTTGTTATCCTTGTGCTTATCTGTTCATCACTAACCTTTGACCCCTTAGCAGTCTTCCAGACTGTCCATTATCTGCATAGCGGATGCAGCTGTTCATTTCGGTCTTTTCCTTATGTATTAGCCATTGTTCAGTAGACTTCCTGCTAACAATCAGCGGCTCGTGGCTTTAGCATTTAATTATCTTTCGATTAAATTCATTGCTGCATTTTTGAATATGTGAGGACACCTACATGTATATTTCTATGGATTATTTACCCATATCTTAATTTTTAATCTAATTTTTCAACATATTGATAATCCAAATTTTCAACTTCTACTCTTAGTTGTTGGAGTAATTCAAGTGTATACCCTTAGCTTCTCCTGGTGCTGCTTTTTCAGGTTACTTGAATCGTTATTGATTTCAGGTCAATAACATTCCGGATGGGAAATCTTCCAATATAAACAAGCTGAAGGGAAAGTCGACATCGAGAATTACTAATTTTCAAAACGAAGAATATTTTGAAGAGGTGCATTGCTTTTAGTAGAAAATTTTTATTTCTGTCACTGAACAAAATCGGAAATTGAATATTTTTATGTAGGATAATTCATGAAAATTCATCAGAAATCCTCTAAAACAACTTAGATGATCTCGATTTTATTGTTGAGTTCTTTTTGTTGTTTATAGCTTCAGGAGAATCACCCGAAACATTTACATTTGAAATTTACACTTTTTTTAATGCAGGATTTCGAAGAACCAGGTTCGTCGATGTCTGGTGGTTTAGGACGATTACCGAGTGAAGAGGAATCGGAGGACAGTCTCTGGAATGTTCCAAATAATGCGGCAGGACCAGGATATGCACCAATGGCTCCAAGTGATCGGTGGCTCGACGGGTTGAATACAAAAGTTGGCGACTGTGTCCTGTATCAAGGTGAAGCATGTCGCGAGTACCTCACAGGTCGACACGTTATGATCGTGAGCGATAATAGGGAGGATATGTACGATGTCGGTTGGTATTTTTTCATTACTATTCGTCATCCACACTTTTAGTGCTAGTAAAAGCATTTTACGAAATAATATAACTATGGAAGTGTTGCAATCGAGTAATTAGCGCATAAAAGAATTTTGGTACCTATAGAAATTACTTGCTTTACAGTCTCGATCTCTCTGGTACACTGTTGCATCAGTTTTGAGTTTGAATGAAATGCGCTACACTGAATAACTTGATAAAGTAAATGTGGATGATTACGCAATATTTCAGCAATTTTGTCTTAATTTTTAAATCTCATTACAGATCGCAATCTTCGGGCGGCGATGATGTTCATTAACAGCAGCCCAGTTATATCGGCACAGTGTAAGCACTATTCGTATGCTGTCGCGTGCTATCATATGTATAAAATATGTGACCGAGGATCCGAAACAGACCATCGAACCACATCCGTACCTCATATATTGACGATTTGTCGAAAGGATTGTGACGCGCTGCAGGTTTGTTTTTGCTCCATTAAAGTTAAATTTTATTGCTGAAACCGAGAATTCTACAAATGTTCTGCTCATCTAATTCGGAAATGCGAACCGTATTTTATTTCAGGCAGATCTATGTCCTAAGGAATTAGCGCTGGCAGCTGAGCATGACCTGGTTGGCGATGATCCTAAAGCTCTTCTCCCCAAATGTCAATCGTTAAATCCGAAAGCAGAGTACTGTATACCCATTATTAATGTTGCTGATCAGGTTATCTTCTAGTCTTTCGCTAAAGGCGCTATAAATAAAGTGTCCAGTGGATATTGTGTTTTCCCGGTTCAAAATATATTTCATTTTTAGTCCGAAGGTAGTACTGATTTGTCTCCTGTTTCTTCGAAAGAATTACCGCACTGGTGCTATTTGGATAATGGTAAAACTTACGATGGTAATGCTTCGTTAACAAAATCTGGGAAGCGTTGTATGAACTGGACACAAAGCTCTTCAAGGTAGTTTATCCTCTGTTTTTAAACATTTACTGTCATCAGAATAAAATGTGGCAGCTGTTCCGTTCTGCTAAAGTTTTCCTTTTATGTTCTTTTAAGGGTATCATTATATTTTTGTAAATACGTTACCATGAAATTGAAACTTTTTGTTTGAAGTGAAATATTCTTTAAAGTTTTACATGAAATGGATGTCATACTTTATGCAATTAAAAAATAAAGAAGTTTTTCAAAATGATGTTTTTCATTGCTTCTCATTGCAGCAATTTTGTTTTTCATTGCAGCAATTTTCATTGCTGAAACATCATTGCAGTTGCATAATGGTAATAAACGACTTATTGCAGGGACTTTAACATTAATCGGTATCCGTCTTTGCGAACTAGCAAAAATCACTGTCGCAATCCTGGTGGCAAAAAGAGCTCTCCATGGTGTTTTACTCATCCAAATGGGCAAGAAGAATACTGTGATATCAGTCAGTGTCCTGCTAGTATGTATCCTTACTTAAGAGATCGAGAAGTGATGGGAACCACTGATGATGATGTTTGTGTTTCGTACTGCATTTTTGTTTCTTTTTGGACAAACAAGATTTAAGAGGAATCATCTTTTGCATCTGTGCTAGATTAATTTAGTATGAGTTATCCTCGTGGTGCGCAATCTAGTCAAACTCCGTATTAGCACTTTTTAACTAATCTTTATTTAAAAGGTTCAGAAACTTTATATTCAGGGTTCTATAATCGGTGATATATCGGACATTTGGTCAGGTTTGTCGTCGCCATGGCAGCTGGCAGTACTTAGTGGTTTTGGATTTTTCATTTTTAGTCTGATCTTTCTATGCTGTTATTGTTGTTGTCGGAGGAAACGTAGAGAAGCGGCAGGCTCTTCATCAACTATCATGAAAAATGGGCTACAAAACTGTAATGGATGCAGTGTTGCAAGCAGGTTCATTTATTATCTAAATTGAATGAGTTATTAGAGGTTGTAGTCCATTCTTTTTGACGTGATGGAGAATAATTGTAGATCTACATGTTGCAAAAAATTTTCAGTGCTGTAAATAGCACATATTACCGGAAACTGAATGGTACAGCAAACACTGATCCGAACAGCGCAGCTTTCGAGCTTTCTTCACTAATACAAGCACCGACAAATAGCAATACTTTTATGCAACATCATCATTCTGGCAGTTATGCTCAGTACAGTCCGAGGCCTTCGACTGAACCTTCCGTTGAGCCATATCAAATTCCTGAAATACAGTCTAACCAGGTCAACATTTTTTCGTTAATTATAATATTATGCATTTCAGATGCTTAGCATCTAACAACTTCTTCTGGCTTTGGGATAACATTGAGTGATCACGATGATATTTTTGCTTTAGTTACGTTTTTCCCTGCTTTTACTTATGAATTATGTAGAGAAAATATTCTATTCCATTTCACTTCTCTTTGTTTCTTCACTTGACAAGAAAGCCTATTTAATCGCTGAGGCATAAAGAATTTCAGTTGCAAATTGGCGATTTGATTGGCGAAGGACAGTTTGGCGTGATACATAATGGTAACTGGCATGGTTCACTTCTTAATGGTGAGCCGATGCAGGTTGATTTTTTCTATCTGTTGACTTTTTGTTGTCCTTATTTTTAAGGTTTTGGCAAACAATGAAGTATTTGTAGGAGAATGCTACTAAATGCTTTTTTTCCGTAGTTAAAATTAAAACTCCACGTAGTCCTTTTTTTATTATTATTCAATTAATGGTATAATGAAATCAAGCCTTGTGAGAATATTTGGGCTTGAACACTTTAGTTGCTGAGTAGGAAGCGAGAGCATGTCCTCATTTCTTGCAGCTATCGTCATTAAAACTTTTTGCAGGTGGCAGTCAAATCACTGAAACCTGGAAGCAATACCATGGAAAGGCAAAATTTTGAAGAGGAAATTCGTATGATAGCACCCTTTGATCATCCAAATGTTGTGCGTTTACTGGGTGTTTGTTACTTTGATACACAACAGCTGAGTGCTGTATTTGAATATATGGTACACGGTGATCTTCATGACTTTTTGCGCCTCCGAGCACCAAAAACCAATGGGTTTGTATAATTCTTCAGAAATTTTATCATCAGCTATCCATTTACGCTTTTTGGTTGAGATATATTCACTGCAGGATTTTTCGCAAAGTAGAAGATAGATGGAATAGACCAAACTTTGAAAATAAAGATTGGTTTTGATATTTCTTTGCACACCAAAGTATATGAACTATTTCTTTTTTTTTTTGGAACTGATATATTTAAGTAAGAAATTTCAAAATCAGGGGCATTGGCAAAAAATAATTCTCAACCGTGAGATTGCAAAGGAGGAAGTATTCGTGATCCTGACATCCTAGCATGTGCAGTAATTCCTTTATCCTAGAATTTTAAGCATTCCCAGTAAATTTGTTGAATATTTATCGTATGAGAAGAGATGCATAGAGTTACTGAATAGTTTATTCCCTTCATTTATGACAAATATTATTTGCAGATATGAGCAAGTAGTCGATCAGGAGCGGATTATCGCTGATAATGAAGATTTCTTGCGTATCGCCCTTCAGGTATCTTTTCTTATCTCTAATTCTTTTTCATCAATCCCGTTAAAGGAATATAAGAATCGTTCGCTCAAGAGATATTTTGTCAAAAAAAAATTGTGGCAGATGAACTGATTAACTTTTATTCTGTTTAAGATTGCATATGGTATGAAATATTTATCGAGTATGAGTTTTGTTCATCGTGATTTGGCAGCCAGAAATTGTCTCGTGGCTGATCAACGAGTTATTAAAATTGCTGATTTTGGTTTGGTCCGGAATTGCTATGAGAAGGATTACTACAAGGTTTGTTATGAAATTATAAATGTAAATGCTAGCAGTGTACCATCCTTTTATAAAATCCATGTTTTAGAGTAAACGAATTTCGTCAAAATTTTATTTTTAATTTTTCCTTCAAATTTTTCTTTTTAAAAAAAAACGCTTCTTTAGGCCTTATCTCAATTTTTGAAAAAAATTGTCTCGAGAATTTTCAAATTTAGATTCTGATAAACAATGATGATTTTCCTGAATCTCCATTTAAATGATAAATACAACAATGTCGATAATTTCTGCAGGTGTTGCATCGAACGTGGCTGCCAGTTCGTTGGATGTCACAAGAGGCGATCCAGTACGGTCGTTTCAGTGAAGCAACTGATGTTTGGTCGTTTGGAGTAACTTTATGGGAAATTTACTCGTACGGAAGGCAGCCGTATGAGAGTTACTCTCATCAAGATGTCATCGAATTGATCTCTGTGCGAAGCTTACTGGAATGTCCACAAAACTGCCCAACTAATATATATAGGTATCTGAAGGTTACTTCATTACCTATTGAAGTGACAAATAACATTGCTGAACACAAATATGTTGTTTTTGTCGATTGCTGGAATAGTAAATCCGACACCTTATCTAATTTTCCTGAGATGAATCTGTCCTTCTCCTTTCGGAGCAGAATTCCACTTGATGAGGAATCGTTTTGTAGTTTGATGGTAGAATGTTGGCATGAACATCCGGAACGACGACCAACATTCAGTGAACTTTATTCACGTCTTCAGACTTGGTCACTTACAAGTCCATCGCAGTCTGTACTTTCGCACCAACAAAATCATCCTGGCAGTTCGCATTCCGGTATACTCTGATCTAATATATTCCTTTAATCAATGTGCGTAAATGAAGGCATTTCTGTTTGATATTCCGGTTCAGTTAATATCTTGTTGATTTACTGTTAATTTTAATAAAAGTTAATATTACTGTTAATTTTAAATTCATTTTAGACTCAAGTGCTGCTGCAAATCGAGGTAGCAGGCAATCATCGTCAACTCCGTCGGTAAGCTTGTTACGTGGTGCCACTGGCAATACCTCTCTCGGAACTGCTCCAAGTATGAGTACTGCAGGTTTTTCGGTACCTTCACCAGCTCCGATGCAAACAATGATGACGTTGAACGGCGTGCATCCTTACCAAGTTGGTGCGGTAACTTATTATAGTACTTGCTGAGGTCTTGCTCTGATCTTGTCGTTAAAATCATTTCCAACTGAACTTATTGACTTCGAATTTTGAATTTAAACCCGTGGAAAGGTCTTTATGGCGGTTGTTGATTCATGCGAATCATCTCAGTTGTACACAACCCCAAATTCAACCAAAGCTTTCTGGTTGCAGGAAGTACCCACTTAGTATCTGGAGGAAATCATAATCGTTCACCGAAAGCTCGTTTGCAAAATGTTGTAACCAGAACAAGTAATAATGCAACGGCAACAGCATCACTAATACGACGCCCAGGAACATCAAATTTCAACTATTCCGGGGATGATGCAGCAAGTGAAGAATCTGATTAAAACAATCTGGTTTCTTTTAAAATGCATATTCTTATTATTCGTACAAGGTTCATGCAGTGAACTGCACTGTTACTGTTATTATTGTTGTTCCTCTTGCTTATTATTGTTGATATTACTTATTCTCAATGATCTCAATTTTCCGGACGATTCTTCGACAACTCGTATTATGATTGTTTATTCATCATTTCTTGTTGTTACTTCAATTTAACTAAAAATATGAATTCGCATAAAGTGAATTAGCCCTAATACTGCAAGTATCTTGTATTTTCATAAAGCCTATGCTCACATAATTTCAATCTTATTCTACCTCACTATTACAATTGAAGTTGTTAAGGATATATAAGAGGTGAGAGATGTTACTGCCGATGTACAAGGACGAAATATAGCCTAGTTAAGGATGATCTGTCTCTGTCTAGGTAGAATTATTTTCCTGGCAAAGTTAGCACTTTCGATAAAATGCTGATTTGTCACCGATGAAACTCGTGTTTATGGAATCTTTGCTTATTTCTTTAGATTTTTCTTAACCTATCGAGCTTATCAATGCCATCTTTTCTGTACTTTCGAGGTTACCTTTATGTCAGTGTCAAAATATTTCATAATCATGTATATATGTCTTGTTGAATCATTTATATTGACAATATCATCTCTTCGATTTGACGAAACAGGGTCACAAACAATGTGCTATATGTTCTTTCTCTCATATATTGCATTAATTTGTATGTGAATAGGTTAAATGATTGTTATATTTGTTGATGCAGTTGACACTTCCATTTTACTTTGATTGAACTGATGAGTAGTAATTGGTCCAAAAAGAGTCTTCAGTTTTTATTTCGCTGTTTTTCGGAACATTATTTGGTTAGCTGCTCAGATGTACTTTTGAATAATATAAAAGGTTGCACCAAATGAAAGCAAACAATTGCTCAATAAAATTGTGTATTCTGTAATGCAAAAACTCGAAACTTAAAGACCAAGTACCCATCTTACCGTGTACCTGTTAAATTCGTCTGTATCTTTGTCATCTCATTTCAAGGATAATTATCTCTACTGCAAAATAAGCACTGTTTGGATTTTTCGGTACCTTATCGTTATACCATGATTCCAACAGATTGGTGATTACTTTTGTTATTCATGATTCCGGTTAAGGAGCTGTCCTTCATCATGCTATTCGTAATGATCAGATCACTGAACGGTGTAAGACCTTCTTTGCTATGTCGGTATCCGTACAATACATAGACTATCATTCCTGAAATATGGCTGTGGTAAACTCATATAAATATAAATATGGAGGGAGAAGTTTGAAAATCAAATCTCTTCAAGAGGGATATCTAGTCAGAAGTTTCTGTATTTCTTTTGGTCACAGAAAGTTTGAGGACTGAATTATGTGCAGCCTAGACTTATTTAGGTATCTGTCTGGATTTAACTGACATCCCACTTTTCACATAACCAATTTCTAATTTTAGAAATCTAAAAACAAAAAAAAGCTGGATTTGCTAACCAGTAACAATCCAAGCGATAAATCCGACGATCGTAACATAATTAGTGGTACAAGCTATCAGTATGGACAGAAAAATTATAAAAAGTGTGAGGTACGGGAATGCACGCGTTTTGCAACTTCGTTCACTGTTTACCGGATTAATTGTTTGTCGGGTAATACTTATTACGAGATATCCCAGAACGATGCATGCCAATAGCGTTGGTAGGGTTGAATATAACTATAAATTAATTTCAAATTAATTTACGCATTCAAAAAAATTTGAATACTTATAAATGGTTTTAACGGGCATTTGAAACTAAATTGGAGTTATAGTGGATAAAGGTGACCGCGATTGCACTAATTAAATGCTATATTGTAGAGATCTTGCAATTGTAATGCAAGAATGCATTTAGTACGATCAGAGCATGCATGAACTTAAAAATCGTTGATCGAACTCTTCGCTATTAGTTAAGGCTTGGTGTAAACTGGGAGGATGGATCACAAATTAATTAAATTCATGATCTAAATGAACTTTTTAACGTATTAGAATTGTGATATGATATGAGTGATCAACTGGATTATTTCTTTGAGATAATTATTCTAAATTCAAGTTGTGGAAGTATTTTGAAAAATTTTAAGCTATAATATATTGTTGGTTGATCTTTATATTGCTTTCACTTTTTTTTTTTTTTCAAAAATGAAGGAGTAAATAATTGGAAGAAACCCTTTCCTCAACAATCTCTCAACTAATTATACGTTGAAAGAAGCGCCGAGATCTCACAAAGTGTGAAATATACCTTCGTTAAGCCGCTTTCGGTCTTCAGAGCCAGGAATCCAATAGTTATAGAAGTTAATATGAATAATAACAAAGTTCTCATTGAGCGCTTATAGTCTGTGTTGTTGAAATCTTTCGAACTGCGTACCGATCCACAATACTTATTCCAATAGTGCATCTCCAGAAAATCATGTTCAAAAATGTGAAAGTTCTGCTTTTTCATATCAGCTGCAACAATGTTAATAACTTTGAATTCATAACTTCGGACTCGAAAGTTATGAATTCAAAAGTATAAATAGAATTATCAAAATTTTAAGACGTTAAATTGCTTTTATTTGAAGAGCACCACTATCAAATATTTCACCGATGATTGAAATCAATGAAAGTATTGGATAATCTTTCACGCGGATGCTACTACTCAACCGACTAGCCCAAAAACGGAACGGTATTGTACAAGTTAAGGGTTGAGTAAAACTGAAACAGAAGTCGAGGAAATTAATTGTAGTAAGTGTTCAGATTAACATTAAAGACAACCAATCCTGTCAAGGAAGCTCTTTGTTGAAAACTTTGGGGGGTTTTGATGAAAATTTAACTGTAATTTAATTTGCTCTACTAAATTATATGAAAAATACGCCTACTTGTAGTAATTCGAAAAGAACATGGCGATCTAATACAATTATGACCAAAGTCGGAAGTATCAAGTGCTGACAGCGACAATCGTTTTCTATCCTTGTAAAATCTTATTGTCGTTCCCTTCAGATTCTCTACTAGCGACTGTGACTAAATCAGTTTCAATTTTTTGGAAAAACTTGAAAATCAATTAGCTTAGCACTTTAATACATTAAAGTTCAGCTAACTGTAATTGTCTTCAATGGAATGGAGTGACCGAATGACGCATGTTATGAAGCATATTAGCTTTTTTTGCTTCTCATTAAAAATCGAACTACCACTTATTTCAACTAAGGTAAAGAGCATAAGTAATAATGATGAAGTTATTGTATGTGGCTGTTGAAAAGGTAAATATGTGCAGTAAATTTGACATGTAAGACTTCGGCAACATTAATTGTTACCATACGCACATTTTTAAATGTATTGTATCGCGAACCAATGAACGATCTTTTCGTCAGGATTCTCTCATTTGACTTTCTATCCATTTCTTCTTCTTCATTTAACAACATTCTCAAATTTTCATTTGTTGATGGTGGCTAAACGAGTAAGAAAATATTAAAGAAGAAAAGTGTCGTTTAACAGTATGACATGATACTTTGAGATTTGATGATTTTGCGCAGAAATCATCCAACCACGTTTTCTTCTACGTTAAATATCATTTAAAGTGTATGAATGCTGTGATTCTTTCACTTGATTCTTTCAAACTTCAGTCTCAGAAGGTGAATCTCTCATGTATACTGCTTACTATATAATGAATTTATGCAAATGTAGGCAATAAAACTGATATACTTTCTCCAGCCACCGTTCACAATGTGCTTCTTGTTGAGCAACTATATTTCGCATGATTTCGTAGCTACTCATCATTTCGATACTTTCGTCATCTGTACTCCATCTGTAGCTAAAAAGGAATCTTTCCGGTTGAAAAAACGGAAAGATGCATAGTTTTTGTGCATAATTTGACTCGGATTTTCCAATCATTTTTCTTCAAAAGACTGGAAGATGATAGTGAACAATTATGTGATAAGGGAAAATGATGGGATTAAATAATTGAATATTTTGAAAAATTAAAACCACAACAATGATTCAAATGTATTTAGTATGCTCGTTAGCATAAACAAGTATGGTTACCTGGAAACAGTACCCGAGCGGGAATCTCTATCATCTGTGCAAATATTTGAGGATTGCCTTTTTTGTCGGTTGTAATGAACGTCGCGGTAGAATGCTGTTTCTCGAAATAATCCAACTACATTTGGATTATAGTGCTGGTCGTATACCAAACAGCCCTGTACAACAACTGGACAGTTAGTTAGAATTGACAGAAAAGTAATATTAATGTCAAGATCTTACGAGCAGTATCAGCCTTAAAGGAGTAGTGAAGGCGATAATTCCGAATAACTTGGAGTTATTGAGGATGACCAATGTGGAGGAAACCAGGGCGCATAACAGTACTGCATAATATGGCACTCCTCTCTTCTTACTGGTATGAGCCAATAGGCTTAGAGGAAGTAGACTATCACTACAAAGCGATGTCAATATCCTTGTTGCCGGTACAAATATTGCAAGCATTGTTCCAGATAGGCCACACACTGAGCCTATTGCCATCACATATCTTTAAAAATTTCAAAGCAATGAAACTTTCTAAAGTTTACAAAAATTATTTGTATTTATGATTACTTATCATATAACTCATTCTATTTTATCCTATCTTTTTCCGCGGATATTTTCGGAAAAGTGTTTAATTATATTTTTAGATACTTTAGAACCTTAAAAAACTTCAGGGATCAATAAAGTTTTGGATTTCCAATCTTAGACCTTTAAAAAAGAATATTGAAGGAGATCCTAGGGAAAACCACCATTGTAAGCAACAATTCTTCTGACTTATAAATCATTCAGTCAATCTCGGAAATAAAAATAATATTACTTCGCAGAAGGTATCCTGAGTTTGTCAAAAATATCTGGGAAAAGCATATCATCGGGATATTTTGAGATATCGGCAGTTAACGTGATAATTATTGTTGTCAAAAACATAACTAATGTTAAGGCAATAATTATAAATGGCATGATAAATGGAAGTCGTTTTCGTGGATTTTTCGTTTCTTCCAACAAAAAGGTAAATGTTTCGATACCAATGTATGCACACAGATAATTCGATGCACCTTTCATCATCTACAATATCATGGCTTGTTCACAGCACTATAAGAATAGCAAATCCTGTATTTTCCTCCGGTAACAGAAAATCCGATCACTACCAAAATTTGCATAAAACCTAAGTTAAAACCAATGAATCCATTAAGAGTCTTCAGCAAAATCTGCATGCATGAGAATATTATACTCTTTCAATTTGAGTTAGCTATGGCAAGCTGAAGTACCATAAAATCATGCTTTGGAAGCAGGAATCCCAATTTATTTTCAGGATTTATAATTTAAACAGAACTAGTAACATACACCAGTAATGCCATCTTTAAAAAAACCAGCAGCCAACCAATTACTTGGATCAACAAAATAGAAGCCAACAAATGCAGTACTATTGGTTGCCAAGACACATATGGTTACCATTATTATCGATATAGTGGCCAATACCTGTCATTTTAGGCGATTTATAACATATGCGCTTCTTAGTAATGTTACTTGTACATCTGTTTTAATTCTATAACTTTTTAAATTTTTTCGTCTTATCTATGATTGTTTGTTGGACGCTATCAAATAAGACGAATTGAAATCAAGCCAAACCCAAATGCTACAGCATAATACAATTGATGCGCAAAAGATGGCTAATACAGCAAAGAAATCTATTTTTGTTGCAAAAATTGAACCCAAATGATAAGATATCTCTACTGTGAAATGCTTGTCGAATAATCCGTGAAATAACAAATTCTGAAAACTCGAATTTAAATTTAAATTTGAAATGAATGCATTTGCTTATTTATTATAGGCGCCATATCAACAATTCAGCATATAATATTCCATTATCTAATTATTTTGTTTGAAGGAAAATCCAAAAATTAAATTGAATAATTGAAGCAGTACCATATGGCTGCTCCAGTTTTTAGCCACGATAACGATACAAATGATAAAATCGAGTAATGATATCCAACCAACCAGAAAAGCCGGTATTTCCCCAAAATTAGCATATGTAAAATTGTACAGTAGGCAGCTTTTTGGCATCGAACACAACAATTCATTCATATGCATCCCTGGAGATATCAATTAAGAATTAAATTAGACTACTTCTACTATTTTTTCCTAGTTAGATAGCATAATATTGCTTATCTTTAAAGATTATAAATCGAATCATCCAGAAAATGCAATTGGAAAAGAAAATTAAGTATAGCAATTTGTTACAATCATCGTTATGCACAGAATTAAATTGAATTTCATCGTTACCCAATTCTGCATTAGAAAGAAAATGATAGTATTTAATATTTAATATCTTTTACCAATAGAAGCATCATTATGCAGGAATTGAAATCAATTTTCCATGGACCCACCTGTTGATTGAAAGTGCGATTGCAGATTTTTTAAAATTTACTTCATTTCTATCATTTTCTGATTATAAGATTTTAGAAAACCAAAGCTAACCGGATATGATCATAATAATAAAGGCAATTAACAATGAGAGTAAAGCTGAAGGTCCAGAAATGTTCATCACAACATATGGAGTGATAATGAATGTACCGAAGGGCATCGTTAGGACAGAAGCTGCAATTTTGTGTTTGGTACGCTTGAAAAGCAGAGCAAAATAAGGCTAATATTAAAAATTTTAATTGATAAACGCATTTTAGCTAATATATTCTGCGACAATTGAATGCAAAGCTAAATGACAATTTTTCTTCCATGTGTGGATAATAAATAATAAGCTCTGTGAATGATGTAGTTGGAATAGAACACATCTTCGAATGGTACGACAATGGAAAGGACGGAACATGAAACGTAGAAGTGAAGCCATTTTCCTAATTCATGAGGTCAAGCTGGAAACTCTTTTTGCTGTCACAGAAGAGGAAGGCCAGAGACAGAAGCAAAATTAATAAAAGATAATGATTCAAATGAGAAGTCAGAAATATCTAATTGGAAAATTTCATTGTTTACGAAATTTCTATGAAAACATTTAGTCAATAATTTGTCATCATACTGTTCAAAAGAATGCAAAATTATGATTCGTGAAATACTTGATTTGTTTTTGGTATAATATTTTTAAATTCGAAATATACAACACTAACCAATTCCAATCAAGGATGGTGTTCGAAGTTTACGGATCCATTCAGAATGTTCCAAGAACTCGTTGCCTACTGTTTTGTATCGATTCAGGAATGTAATCCGGTTAAAGATCATCCTATTGCTAAAATAAAAGTGATACATTATTTATCATCGTATTATATATTGATTTTTCAACATCAAAAGATGAATGATTGTTTTGTTGCAATAAAACTCATAATATGCATGATTAACAGTGAAAAAAAGAAACGACTTTTGTGATGCGATATGATATCATATTGTATCAGTGACATGCAATGATACGGTATTTCTGGTACCGGCAAGTATTTCTGGTGTTGGTACCACTCCATTCAACTCATCCAACTACCGTTTGAATTAATCGTCTTCATCTCATTAATGACTTACTATCTTCATTCAATTATATTTCTAAAATTTTTCGAAGAGTGGTGTTTCATAGAGGAAAAAGGGGAAGAACAAGCTTTGAAGTTTAAAATTCAGCAGAAGAAGCCATAAATATATATATATATATATATATATATGTAATTTAAATATAGATATAAACAACAAAATAAAAGTAATAAATA